GAAAGCCATCATGGCTGAAGAGAGGTACGCAACGTATTCTGCAAGCAAAGTGGAAGGCTTGGTTTACGTGGCGCATATCCAAGAGTTGAACCGACCACGACGCATACCTGGAACTCAGGAACAGGTGCAACGTGAGAGTCAGGAGCGACAGGAGGTCATTTCAGGCCAACATTGCCTAAAACCTCCTGGCGAACCCCCAAAACTTGTGTCGACTCATGTCGGAAAGAAAACCAGTCAACCAGGAGGCATGTGCCTTAGTAGGGCCAAATGGTCAATACCTTTATGGTCTGGAGTTGGCGGACACATTCAGTTTGGCCTTCACCAAACAGTTGAGCAGCATTGTGGGTATATCTGGTACGGACCAAAATGGTGGTACTACTATTTCACTAGCGGAAGACCTGGAGGCTACTTGCCAAACAAACCCGGAAATAGTACAAGGGAAGCTAAAGAGACTCACACCTAGGAAGTCCTCAGGTCGTAACGACATCAGGCCGTCTGTTCTGAAACAGTGCGCCAAAGCTCTCTGTAGGCGCTTATACGACTTGTTTCAACACTCGATGGATTCGGGGAAACTGCCAAGGGAGTGGAAAAGAGCCATCCTTTCTCCGATCTTCAAGGGTGGAGTTAGGTGAAATGCCACTAGTTATAGACCAGTAGTGGTATCAAAAGTACTGGAAAGTATCGTTGATGATCGCATCAGGGAGCACCTCGATAGAACAAGCAGACTCCACGAAGCCCAACATGGTTTCAGGAAAGGCAGATCCTGTGTAACAAACCTACTATCAACTCAGGACGATTGGATATCATGCTGATATATGAATGTTCCAGTCCATGTGGTCTTCCTAGACTTTGAGAAGGCACTTGACACCGATCATCTTGGCACAGCTCGTCGTCACAGGTTTCTATCCTAGGACCGCTGATGTTTTTGATTTTTATCAGTGATCTACCATGCCGTCTAAGCTGCCCGACTCTTCTATACGCTGACGACGTAAAATTATGGAAGGCGATAAAGTGTCCGGGGGACTCAGATAGACTACAGGAAGATCTAAACCTTATGGAAGACTGGGTGGTAGCCAATAATAATAGTAATAATAATATATTCTCATTTTTTGCACATGAGGGACGCCAGTTAACGGGCATCATAAATATGATAAGTTACATATAATGGTATGAAAAAGTGCAAAGTAGGGAAATTACAGACCTGTAGACTGCAGAAAGCAAGTTACACCCTATGCAACGAAAGCTTGTCCTGCACAAGGTCAGAGAGTGACTAAGGTTTAGTTCTCATCATTCAGTCACAACGCGGACTCAACAAGCGCCACTAGCCATATAGACTTTTTCAACGAAGTCACCTATAGAAGAGATAGAAGAGAACTAGTAATTATCCTTTATTTTGATGTAAGGAAAGCCTTCGATAGAGCTCCACAGAGTCTGTTAGTCAACAGGTTATGCTCACTAAGGATACGTGACCTACTCCAGAACTGCATGAAATCATTTCTCTGTGATAGGAACCAGGCAACAGAAGTTGGCTCGATGACATCTAGGCCTAGACCGAATGGCAGTGGTGTCATCCAGGGGAATGTATCAGGCTCCGTCCTTTTCATAATATATATATACATAAACGGTATAGGTGAATGCTTTGGCATGGGCAAACGATTACTGTATGCAGATGACTAAAAGATGACCTGTACATGCACAAATACATATGTCAGTACAACTGTGAACTATATACATGAAGAATCGATAAAAATGATTAGATAGCGTGATAGGTGGAGACTCAAATTTAATGTCGAAATGAGTGGCTGGCTCTGCATAGGCTGGCAATGCAAGGCCGCAGAATCCACAGACTCAAATCTGTACTAGACCTAGGACTGAAATATTCACACAATCTATCATTTTCAGATCATTTCTTGAGTGTCGAAATCACGCAGGCTTTTTGCTTTCCTACTCAGATACCTCTACAGGAGTGAATCCAGAATACTACTATGCAAGGTTTGTGTTAGCCCAATCCTGGATTACTGCTCATTCATGTTTAGTAGTATACTCACAGAAGACAAACTAAAAGTAGCACATCAACACCAATATCTAAGCAAAGGTATGTTTTCATTGAAAAAGTCATAGTTTCCATGGTGATAACTATATGGTTAAGAGTATACATTGCAAGTATGCATTACGATTCGAAGGGCTCTGTGGTTTCTACTCGTATTTATCAAATGTACTTCCAATGATGTATTATCCATAACTGTATTTTATGCCATTTTGCAGTTTCTCAGGACATTCTTCCCTTCCTGAAACAGCATTCAGTTAAGTCGGGGCATAACAATTACCCAGATATACGCTGTTCACTGGCTGACCATAACTATCACCATGAAACGGAACGAAGTTTGAGTTTTCCCTAAACTTCGATGGTAGCCTCAGTGAAGGGTTTACAATTTAACATTTATGAGAACCTGTTCTTAATGCTTGTACAATAATCAAGCAATTTGAACTTTGAAAAAGTAATAATTTATGATAATTTATAACACAACCAATCGTGCCTGTAAAAAATGGTATGGATTTCTTGTAAATACCAGTTCGTATGAAATATAAATTATTATTATTATATCTTCCAGTTCGTGAGAAATCAGGCATATAGCATCGGCGAAGTTCAGATCATCCAAGATTTTTGTGTCGTTCCATTTTATACCCGTATCCTAGCTGCCCACTGTTTTTCGCATTATCCAGTCTACCGCAATCGGGTAAATCATTGCAGATAGTTAGCAGCCTTGTCTTACTCCTGTCTCCACTTCGAAGGCATCCGTGAGTTTCTAGTTGTGGATTACTTGGCATGCAGCATTATCGTACAACTGTTGGATGAGGTGTATAATTGTTGCCAGTACCGTAGTGGTGGAGTAGTTGCCAACTCACCTCTCGATCGACGCTGTCGAAGGCTTTTCGGAGTCGATGGAGTTCAGGTGGAGAGCTGACTGCCATTCCAAGCTCTCTTCAATGATGAAACGTGGTGTTGCGATTTGATCGATGCATGACTTGTTTGTCCTGAATCCAGCCTGTTCCGGTCGAAATTTTCCACCCAGGGCTTGTTTGATTCATTCCAGGATGATGCGGCTTACTATTTCGCTTGGGATAGACAGGGGCATAATGCTGCTCCAGTTCTTGCATTGACTTAAGTCTCCTTTCTTTGGCAGTTTGAATAAGTAGCCTATCTTCCAATCCGCAGGCACCCTGCCCTCTTTCTACACCTCCAGTAGCGGTTTCATGAAGTCCGCCGATGTCTCTGAGTACATTTTCAGTGCTTCTGTTGGGCTTCCGTCTGATCCTGCTGCTTTTCCAGTTTTTAGCATTTTTACAGCCTTCAGGACTTCTGCTTTCGTCGGATAGTTGGTATCCACTGGTAGTTCTGCTTCTGCTGTTGGCATTATTAATAATAATATATTCTCGCTTTATGTACGTGAGGCATCATAAGTATGATAAGCAATATATATATGCAGTAAGCAAATTTACAATATTTCACTGACACAGGATATGTCAGTGCAAGGAAAGGAGATGCAATGATGTCAGTAAGCACACTTTACATAGATAGAAACAACTCACATGATACAATCCTAGACACCGTCATTGTTTGAATTTGTCCACTTGTTACATGTAGTCGACATGGTGGGCTATTCACAAAAGTATAAAAATGGCTTGTAAAACGTTGGTTAGTCAACCGAGAACAATACGAATCGAAAATGAGCTCGAATTCGTTCAAACAGCCTAACAACTGCAACCATCGGAACTCACATCTGAGGCAAACGACATCCTGATTCCATAGCCTGGCCACACCTCTAATACTCCCACCCATTGAGTAGAGGCACAGTAGTATGCCCAAGACTACTAGGTGATGATTTTAAATGAAAGGAATAATAATAAATGCAGAATTGCAGCTTCACATCAAAGTACAACACCACTCTCTCCTTCCTCAGAACTGAGCAATATTTCCTCACCCTTGGGCAAATCAACATATAAAAATACATTAATTCGTTGTAGATCTATTTCTGACTTTCATTCTGACTTCCAACAAGTTTACTGGCAATAGCATCATACACTATGCCTCAGTTGTGATTGCACCAGCTGATTAGGCTGTAAAGATGACCGATATGAAGGGACTAACTTCAGCGATCAGATAAGACATTATTGCTCAAATTAATATACAAGTTATCTCGGCACTGCCTCGACCAACAAGGAAACCTGAAGCTCCTTGACATTTTCCATTGAAGGTAGCAGTTCACCAAAAGTCTTTTAAGTTCCACTCAGAGCATTCAATAAAGCCATCTGTGTTGACAGACTAGGTGTAGGATGTACTATGGAATCAGATTCCCATTTAGGTAGTTGCAGTCCGTGTTACACTGCTTTCATTCAAAGTCAGTAGTTTTGAAATGAACTGCGCCAAAACTAGGAGAACACTGCGTCTAAACTGGCATCGCATAATCTTGTGTTTTAGGGACAGAATGGGGTTCTTGCTTAGAGTATTTCATTGATCTTTAGCAAAGGCAGTAACGGCATACCCCAGTCGGAGTGAAAAGACACACTAAGGCTGTAGCGCTCTTTGAATGTTTAGATTTCGGAACCTTTATAGTTTATTACGATGTGGCTGGGTTTTCCTGAACTTCTAAACTACTTATCTAAGGCAAGTCAAGAAAGTTGTGACTGCAGACCCAAGACTAATTTACTTCACTATCATCAAACAAAGACCAGAAAAATGCCAAATGACTCCCTCGATAGGCCGACTTGATATCTGAGAAAGCTTTCAGAAGCATGAAGATGACAGAATAAATCGTATATCTCCCTGACTGAGTCACACCACACTAGTGGTTATATTTGGAACATGGAAATCTGCTGGTGACCTGTAGTTACACAAAAGCATTTGGACTTCAGAACATTTTAAATGTTAGCACACACGCATGCAGTCAGTTTTTTACTCTTTTGTTTCCGTTGTTGTGTTGTGACACACTTGAATAACAGGTCAAACAAACAACAGGCAGTTGATCTAAAAGTTTGAAAGTCGACTCAAAATGGAGCATAAAGATAAAATTAAGCGTCTTCAGGCTAAATAAGATTTAGATGACTGGTAGTCCTGTCATTCATGATAGTCGCATTAATCAAAATGGTAAGTTGTTTCATTCTCTTCCCAACGCCAGAGCGGGCGTTTCAGAGGTTTTCTTGGTTGTCATTTTCTACCGGTTGCTGCTTAGGGGTCCAAGTACTAACTATTTTTCTGAATTTCTGTGATGTAAGCACTGTTCTAGAGATGTCAACACCTGCTCAAAGACGACTTCTTCGTGATTTGAAACGCCTTCAATCTGACCCACCTCCAGGCATATGTGGTTCCCCGGTTGAAGATAACGTAATGGTATGGAATGCTGTTATATTTGGACCTGATGATACGGCTTTTGAGGATGGAACTTTCAAACTTCGGCTAGACTTCACGGAAGATTATCCAAACAAGCCCCCGCGTGTTGTTTTCACATCTAAAATGTTTCATCCGAATGTTTATACTGACGGTAGCATATGTTTAGACATCCTTTCCAATGCTTGGAGTCCAACATACGATGTATTGGCTATACTGACTTCTATCCAGTCTTTGTTGGATGAACCGAATCCGAACTCACCAGCTAATAGCATGGCAGCTCAGTTGTATGTGGAGAACAGACGAGAATATGAAAAGCGTGTTCGTGCTTGCGTGGAAGAGAGTTGGTACGAAGAGGATGTTTGAAACGAACATACTAACTCATAGTAGTCACAGTAATTTGTTCTGTACATAACTATTTTTTGTACAATTCTCTAAACTGGCATTTAGTTGTTGTTTCACGTCGTTCACACATTTTCATTTCTTGTGGTTGGATGCGCCTTCAGAAACTTATCATTTTACTTAAGTATAACCTTTCTGCCTGTGATTTAAAGACTCATAGCTGCTTGTTTTAAAAGTCGAGTCAATAAAATTTATTCAACCACTTTTCTTTTCTTTGGTTGAGTGTTTGTTTCTCAGCATCGCAAGCTTCCTGTAAGTCTGAGTTTACTGCTATTACCATTTTCATTGGTACACTGTGTTCCATTAAGATCGGTGGACTGCGTCATTTCACTATGTTTTTAGTGAAATCCTGCGCAGCCAGTTACCTGCTAATGTAGTTTTGCATATCATCCAAGGACTAATTATCCGTATTTACATTGTATTAGTATGGCTGGTTTTTCGTTTAGCGCGTCACTAATTTCTAGTTCTTTTTATGTGAGCACTTTGGAGGTGTCTGTATTTAGCCAAATATTAGCGATGCTCTTAAACCTCCTTAGTCTTATTTTCACGGATGAGTCATGTGCCTCAGCAATGTTGTTTTGCCTGGGAATATTGCACCATCTATGAAACGGAAATACATTGTACATGAATGATTTTACTACTATGTTACTTTTGATTTGTCAGGCCTCGTTTCTGTCTAGTGTAGATGTCTCATTTTGTAACCGAATATGAGAATTCTGTAGTGTTCTTCATTTTGTTCATTGGTCATTTAGAATTTTAAGTCTTCTCATTTCTGTGTTCTTGGAGGCGGTCTTTACATAAAGTGTTTTTTATATATGCTTTTTTATAAACCAAAAAAGGTTACTTACACCTTTGTAGACTTTCTTACAACATCCACGTTGTGGATTAGGTATCATGAGCCCATATGGTGTCCCATAGTCTATTGCCGTCTAATTGTGTCATCTGTTAACTTGTGGAGGATCGTTTGACGTTATTACCTTACTCGACTATGTGTAACGTTCGCTCAAAGAGGAATTCACTTTTAACCGATTCGCGGGTTGCACTAATTGCTGCATATCGTATATTTCTACTTAGCCTTTTGGTTCCCCTAGTTGGTTTTGTTGCAGAAGCTAGGGTATTTTGATATTTTGGGGTGTAGCATGTTTTTTCCGTATTACAGAGGAAATCTGGTCTTTTAAAAAGGTTTGTTTTGTAGGTCACTAATCTATGCTACCTCGTTCATTATTTGATAGGTTATAATTATCAGAAGTCATATGAACTTATTCAACATCATATTCTGTGAATTACTAGATCACAAATGTATTAGCCCCTATCAAACTCCATAGTATTGGTACTTCTATAGTAACTAATCAGGCACACTGTGGTCCCACTTTGTACTTCACGTCACGTGTAATATATGTATATATACCTTTAAATTAGTGTTATCACATGTCTAAATGTTTAGTTGAATTGATTTTATCTTTTCTCAGTCTATCATTGTGATTTCCAGGCTATACTCATCATCAGCTGGCGCATTTACGAGTTTTAACTTGTAGCATGCACTTCACTAACGGTCCAGTGGTGGTAACCAAGTACATTAACTTTTAAAGCAGCGAATTCCAGACTCAGGTCTTAGTGTGTATACCGAATTGCAGGTATAACCAACTTACTTACTTACTTTACTTCGGCTATCTCCTACGGGAGGATGAGCCGGCTTCATGAACATCTGAATCATCGTGCCCAGGCGCGGCGATCTGATGCAAAAGAGTTCGTGAAGTTTCATGGGAATTTGGTACGAGTGATGTCCCCAGAATCGCTCGGCCTTTTGTTTGAGAGTGCAGCTCTAGCCTTTACACAACCAAGTGTGACCTACAAGGCAGTAGGAGTGGAGTTGGGAGTCCACTATCCATTGGCAGCCGGTGACCGGAGTTGGTCATAGCTTTTGAACATCCAGGACATCCAACAAGCCCTTTGTCCATACGTCTGCCGGTGAGCTCCAGTGAGCTTCATACGCCAGTCGTTGGAGGTTGGTTTAGCCATCTCCCGTAGACTGTCATCCAATGGACAGTCAACCCGGTGAAGAGCGCCGGGCATCCGCTTCGCTCACTTGAAACAAGCACGTAGTGAGTAGGACTCCTCAAAGGTAGTTTCCGAAAGGAAATTGCACGTTGTAATAAGTTGTTCTAAATTAGCGTAATTATAGAATTCGAGTACTATAGTATAATATAATTCTGTATTAGATAAGCTTATTTTATATAACACAGTGATACAGTGTTGATAACTGGATGACGTTTCAGGCGCAGTTTATCCCCTCCATAAATAAGATAGTGACCTTATCTCATGTCACTTCGGCGTTGGGCATCAGGTATCCAGTTTCGATTTTAATTACCCATGAGATCTCGTATTCCTGCCTGTAAATGCGTAATCTATGTATTTCTTTGAGAGATTGAGGAACCAGTTTTTTTCACCATCTGTTTTTGCCAGTGTATTCGAGATATTTGCCTGTGGTGAGCACACTAGACATCATAGGTGGCACAAAAGAATTACGGTAAAGTTAGCTAAACATAACTGGTGTGTAGATTCATACTAGATTATTAGGCGGGAGGTTCAGTAATACAAGATTGTGCTTTATTCTTCATACACTTACATCTAACGATTCATGACTACAATCCTAACTACCCATTTAAACTTGAATAGTCAAGTAGTGCTATTATCATAATTTTAAATATAATTCCTAACGTAGTTGCTCATTGAAATTAAAGAAAGGACTAATGTCTTTTTGGGACAATGGATTTGATTTATTGCTAAGTGTGTGGTAATATGCGTGTGATTACCGATTAAGAAAGTGATGTGCAACACTACCCATAGTTGTCTACGTATTAGTAGCCAGAAATATTGAAGCAACTTTTGAAATGTCTCTCCCGGATAATTTCACCTTGCGCTTTCACTTCGTCGGAGAGATGACCCGTATTTCAGTTGTATATTATATGTAAAAGCTTCATTTCGGTGCGAGTTTTCCATAGATCAAAAAGCCAGTGATCTTCCTCTCTTGGAAACTCCAATTTTTATTATTTATCATGAGATGACATCGGCCAGAAAACGATTGGAAAAACTGGGAATACTAGACAGCTATTTCTTCAGCCTAGTTTGGGACTCTTCAGTACCCACCCGCCAGGGCTCGAACTCACGGCCTGGCTACAAGGCGACCTCGTAGACCATTAAGCCACTGGGACCAGATCCAATAGCCCATAAATTCCAACTTCTGCCAATTCATGATATAGCGTGACCACTAACCAATATCGTCGGCGAGTATTGTCCTCACACCCGACCTGCTGTACCCTACTGGTCACGACTTAACAAACTAGGATGAAACAACTATCCAGTACTCCCAGGTTTTCCAATAGTTCTCTAACCGATTTCAGTTCATGATGAAATCCTGTCACCAGTCAAATCCCTGCAAACCAACACTTTTATTATTTATTTGGAGTATGATTACCACGCAGATGTGTTAATCTCATATCAAACTTTTGACGTATTAGTCTACGTATTTGATCGTGTGTTTGTTAAGTGGTGGTAGTAATGGTTAGGATAGTTAGTAACTTTTGAATTCCCATCGGCTTACGAGTGTTCTCTCTAAGGCGATATGCGGTGTCTGATAAAACTAGTCATCTATGCAGTGACAATGTTAACATCCCTGTTTCGCTTGATCAAGTTATTTTCACTAATGTCCATGTTGCGTTAAAGATATGTTGTTTTTTCTCCACTTCAGGAGTAGTGCTCTAGTTTTATGCCTTTGTTCACTTCCTTCCTAGGGTTATTAATCTCAGTTTTCACATTAACGACTCCGGTTGTTTATGCTATGCTAAGTTTAATTTTTCACGGTGATCTTTTGCAAAACAAAACCTTCATAAATATTCATCTGGTTCAAGAATTTATGCCATTAGTCAAGCATAGGTCTATCTAACAGATTATGAACATCACGTCTTATGTATGGTTGAATTGGAGTTCTAATCCTTGCTTTGGTAATTCAAATTTGATTGCTCAAATCTAGATGATGAGCCACACATACTAGTTTTCAGTGTTGTACGACCCTACTCAGCGAAGTGACTGATTTTCGTCACTTAACTTGATAGCTTTACCTCAGTATAAATTTTCTCAGCGGTTCTCTAACCGATATTAGCTCGGCGTGATCAAACCTGTAACCAACCAAATCCTTGCAAACCAATGCTTGATAGATAGAAACTTCTGCTTGGGACAGACTTGAAAGCTAAATCTTGCGTGTGCACCGTTTTCGGCATTCTGTATCTGAAAGCTTATACATATAGCTGTACAGGTCTAAATTGATTGATTTCCAACTAAGTCCAACTGAAGTCAAGCCTGTATGATCTATTGAGCACTTTCGGAAACCCTTCAGTCTTACATCGATTGCAGTGGCTCAAGTCCATCCATGTCATGTTCTCACTCACACCGTTAAGATAAGGTTTAATTTGTGTATTATTTTTCATCCTATATATCTTGTTGACTACTGGCATTATCCACTTAACCTTGTACCTTCTTCCCTTCAAACATTTCTCATTGAAAGTGGAGTGTAGGGCAATGCAGAGTCTTCTGAACACCTTGAGCAGCAATCTTCGTATGTTTGGCATGCGATTCGCCCCTGTAAAATGTAAGATGCTGCTACAGAACTGACTGGACTAGGTCAACTCCTAGCTTAGTGATAGGGAGTGAAATGATAGAACATGTTGACCACTTCACCTATTTGGGAAGTTGTATCAGCACCAACGGATTGATTGGCGATTAAAGCTCAGCACGGATCCAAAAAGCTCGAGCTGCTTTCGTTAACTTACACCATCTCTGGCATAGGCGTGACATCCGGCTATCAACCAAGGGACGTGTGTACTGCTCAGCAGTTCGCTCCGTCCTTCTCTATGGCTCTGAAACATGGCCAATACGAGTTGAAGACATGAAAAGGTTGACTGTTTTTGATCATAGATATCTACGATCTCTTTCTCACGTTAGGTGGTATAATAAGGTAAGTAATGTTGACGTTAGGCGTAGTGTTGGGCAAAGAGGGAAAATCAATCGAAGAGGCTATAAAGTTACATAGATTGAGATGGCTAGGTCACTTGCTGCGCATGCCTAACCATCGCCTCCCCCGACGGACGGGCATTACTAGCTGATATAGGTGCAGGTTGGAAAAGAGGAGTAAGTGGTGGCCAAACA